GCCGTTTTTCAGCCACTGGACTGGAGGCCAGGGGCAGTGGGACCCAGAGACCACCAAGGCTGTGCAGTTCAGAGCGACTGCACTGCCTAGGGCGGGCCCCAGGACCTGGTCTTCAGCTGGGTAGAGGAAGTTGGGGGCCCTGTCACAGACACCTGCAGAGAGAAGACAGCAGGTCAGCCACGCTGGGATGCTGGGTTCCCTCCTCATCCAAAGACGGTAAATAAGGGGGGGGAGGGGCATGTGTGTTGCTTGGTGGTTACACCATGTCCTCCCACAGATCTCACGGGGAGAGGCCCAGTGCCCGGCATGTCTTCCCCAGCAGTGGTGCATCGTGTGTGTCCCACCTGCCCTGGGCGTAGGAGAGATTAGCGTGGAAAGTAGCAGCCAGACATGGCTGAGCTGGCTCATCCTGGCCACAAGGGGCCCACTGTCCCCCAGCTGAGCAGGACATGAGTCCAGCCCCCACATTTATCACGTGCATCTGTTGCCCACTCTGGGTGATGCTATGATTCCCATGCCAGAGGTGAGGCTGGCCACTGCACCCCTCAGTCTGGCCCGCCTCTACTGGGGGGCTACCAGGAATGTGGGCACCCATGGGTTTGGGGACTCAGGTGCTGAGCACGCTGGTACCTTCACTCAGAGCCTGAAATTCTGGGCCCTGCTACTTCTGGCCCAGGCAAGCCCTCCCCATCCCACTGAGGTCTGAACTTCTTGTCTTTAAAACAGGGAGGTCATGGGGCCAGCTGGTGGCATGGTGGTTGGGGCACTGGATTCCCACATGGTCAACTGTGGTTCAAGTCCCAGACCCAATAGCTTGCTCTCTCTCTTTCTCTCTCTCTTGCTCTCTCTCTGGTGAGCACACATGCCCTATAGCAAATTTGAAATAATAATAAAATTAAAGTAAATAATTACTTTTTAAAAATCAGGGAGGTCAGAGGAGCAGACCACCTCCATCTTGGTTGAGTGGCCTCCTACTCGCCTACACCTACCTAGCCCGCCCTTGGTGGCCTCCCACAGTGCCCACCACTGGTGTTCTGGGTACTACTGACTCCTGTAAGCCTGGCCTGGAGGTCCTGGGCAGCAAAGGGCTCAGGACCCGTCCTCACTCACCACCTGCCTGGCTTCAAGACCAAGGGCCATCAGGATGGGGAGCTGAGGCCTTTGTACCCCTGGCCTGTAGCCGAGCGCAGAGTTAAGAGCAGAGAGCTTGGAGCGGAACCAACCTGAGGGACAGGAGGTGGAGTGGGGACCCAGGCCTGTCCCCTCTGGATCCCCCTACCTGCCATGATTGGCTGGGGCCTCCTCCGAGCAGGATACGCAGCGGTGCCACCCTGGTTCCACGGGCTCCTTGGCTAGGCAGCGTGATCCACCAAGGGCCAGACTCTTCTCTGTCCTTGTGGCTGACTGGGTGGGGGGTCAGAGGCGGCCGCCATTCCCAGGGAAAAGTTAAGGAGGAACAGGATGAGTTAACCAGTAACTGCTGGCCACAGACACCACCTGACCAGCCTCTGACCAGCCTCTGACCAGCCTGGGGGTGCAGCAGGGTGTGTGTGGCACTCTGCCTGTGTCCTGTGTGACCTGTCAGTACCCAGGAGGTTGCAGACCAAGGTGTAGGTCAGAGTGGCCGTAGGTTTGTCCAGTGGTCACTCTGATACCCCAGTCTCTTACCAGATGTCCTCGTGGAAGATGTCACAGCTTCTGTTGTCCAATGGCAGCCCATCTTTTAGCCACCAGACTGAAGGCCAAGGACAATGGGGCCCAGGGAGCACCCAAGCCTCTTACACGTGGCCAGAATGGGCACCCTCTCACATGACCCAGGAGGGCATGGACCACTTCTGAGGCCAGGACCACGTTCACCTGCCCCAGGGCTACCCGGGGTGCAGTGGACAAGCACCCAGTGGGGACTTCATCTCACTCGGTAGCAACTGGCTTCAGCCAGCTGTTCCTGCACCAGGGCCACCACATGTAGGCCCTGAGGGCACTGGGGATATGTGTGGTGTGTCCCTCTCCAGGTGCTTAGCTGCCTGACTCTGGCCCTTGCTTGGTCCCAACTATAGGTTTTGTTCCAGATGCAGTCGTGCATACCTATATGGGTGTGGACGCATCACCTGTGGACACCCCGGGGCTGGGCCAGGCCCTGAGCTTGTCCAAGCAAGAACAACGGGGGCAGCTCCAAGGAGCCTCATGGGCACCCTTTTTCTGGTCGTCCTGTGTCCCCTCCATCACCAGCCTTGTCATTTCCAAACTCGTCCACACTGTGCCATCTGGTTTTCTAGGGGCCCCAGGCCGCTCTGTTATGCAGAGTCTGAGACCATTCCCAGCACACCGGCAGCAGCTACACCCCTCGGGTCTGGGGACTCGAAAGCTCTGTGTGATAGGCCATGAGGAGGAGGTGCCCTGATCCTCTTCCTTAGCAGCCCAGGGTCCTAAAGGTCCCCTCCTCCCTGGGGGGCTGGGGAGGGCAGGTTCACGCTGTTCATCCAACCAACCATCCAACCAACGTTTCCTGAGCACTTACTCGCCTCCCTGCTGAGAGTACATTAGCCTGCCCGGCCACTGCCTCTGCAGGGTTTATGCACAGCCAGCAGCCCCAGGTCTGGCTGGGCTGCAAGTTCCTCCAGGTCTGGTGGACATGAGGCACATTCCCCTAGGGGCTGGCAAGGGGGCCTTCCAGAAGCCCTTTGGGACAGAGGGCAGAAAAGTCCTTGAAGCAGGAGACCCTCTCACTGAAGGGCTGTAGAAGACACACCTCCTTGGGCAACTAACCCATCACCGTGTGCCCTGCAGATCCCAGGGGGTTCCCTGCAGTGGCCCCTCAATGTTCACAGAATCAGAAGACTTTGAACCCCTGCAGAGGTGGCCCCCTAAAGTCAACACTGAACTGCCAAGATATGAGCACAGGGGTAGGGTCAGAAGGTGCCCTCCCCTGCCAATTTCTCCCTTCATCCCCTACCCCCTTCACCCTTCCCTGCAACCCTCCCTTCACTCTCCCCTGCATACTCTGCTGTACCTTCTCCACCTACACACCCTACCCTGCACCCTCTCCCCTGTCTGCTCTCCCCTGAACACCCTTCTGCACCCTCTTCATCTGCACACCTTGCCCCTGCACACCTCTTGCACCTTCTACCTTGTACACCTGCCCTTCTCCCCTGCACACTCTCTTGCATACCACCTGTACCCTCTTCCCGCATACCCTACCTTTACATCCTGCTGCACCCTCTCCTCTGCATACCCTGCCCCTGCCCCCTCTCCCACGTGCCCTCTGCATCCTCTCCCCCTGCACACCCTGCCCCTGCGCCGTCTCCCCTGCACTCCCTGTGCACACACAGCCCTCTGGCTCATGCACATACACACTGAGCTCCATCCTCAGCCCATTTGTACGTGTGGAACTCCCACACAGCGTATTTCCGCCCTGCACTCCCCCACTACCACCGAACAGCTCGAGCCGCACACTCGCCGCACACACCTCCCAGCACACAGCACACAGAGCGGACCGGGCCAAGCGTCCTGCAGCTCCCGGGGCACCTCGCACCCACCCTTGGCGCCCTGCCGCAGTAACAGCGTCCTGCTCCTCCTCACTCTCATAGGCACACTCATGCATGCACCCTACATGCAAGGCCTCCCCTCTGCCTGCCCTGGCTCCAAAGACAGGCCCCGATGAGACCACGCAGGCTCGCTCAGAGCAGCAGGGAGGGCAAAGTCACCTGGTTCCAGCTCTTTCTTCCTGGAGGACGACGTTGGTCATTGCGGCCATCAGTGTGCTTCTGAGAGCAAAATCTCCCTGAGCCGGGCCCCCCGAAGGGGCCACAGCACCGAGGCTGCCCCAGATGCACCCCTGAGCACTGGGAGGACCTGGCTTTTGTTTATGTATGCTTTAGTCCCCTGTAGTTTCCTGGCCTTGCAGTCACATCCTCTCCTGAACCTAAACCCCACCCAGGCACCCACCCCTTCCCCTGGTGGCGGGCGGGCAGTTGGTGGCTCTTCCTGTAGCAGTGAGTCAGGCTCCTTCCTCCGGGCCCGCCCCAGCCCACCCAGACGCTGCGCTTCCTTGTACTAGTGTGTGTGGGAGGTGTGCTCCGAGGGGCAGGGGTCTGGGGCAACGTGTGGGGCTCCTGGGACAGACACCCCTGCCAGGGCCACCCTGCACACGCACACAGAGGGCAGCTGGGCAGTGGGCCCTGCTTCCCCATGCCTCCAGGAGGTCGCACTCAGGAGGGGAGGAGTTGTATTGCTCCCCCAACTGACTCTGACCCGCCTGAATGAGGGTTTCCTTCCCAAACTCTCAGCCAATGAAAGGGCATGGGTAGGCTCTTCAGCCCTCCCCATCCACCTCTTAGGCATAGCCCCCAAATGGGTGAGGATGGCAAGGGTCTGTGGCAGTCCGCGGGCCTTGGCCCAGGCTGGCGCCGGAGGGCGATGCTCCCTTTCCACATAAGGAGGCACACACCAGGGGCCCGGGAGGCCACGGTTCTGAGTGAGGGAGAGGCAGCCCTCCTCTACTGACACCACGGACATCCCCCCCTCCGTGACCTGGGACTTGGGCCCAGTGACAGGGCTGGCATTGTCCTAGCAACACACGAGGGCCTCCTCCAGTCCCCTGGCCTTGCCTGCCCACACAGGAGCACTGACCTCCAGTCTCCCTGCAGGGCTGACCCCAGCAGGGTCCATCTTCAAGGCACCAGCAGGTATTCCCACACCCTGCAATGACTATGTCCTGTCCAGGCTCTGGTCACACTCTCCTGTGGCACCTGCCCTTCCCCTCAGCCTCACTGGAGCTGGTACCAGCCCTCCTTGAAGGTGCCCAGGGCCGGTGAGCACTGGTGGCTGCAGTAACCGGTTATCCCTTGGGGGGCACCACTGTGTGCCCACACCGCTGCGGAGGAAACAGGCCCAGCAGCTCGGGCAGGAGTGAAGAGGGAGGCCCTTTGGAACCGAGGCCAAGGCCCCAGCTCCCCCAGGCCCCCCACAAAGCGCTGCACTGTGTGGCCGTCTCTCAGGGCCTCAGGGCGGGCCTGCGGCTGACACAGCTCCTTCCCTCCCCCTGCCCATGAACGTCCACCCTCCCCACCCTCGTGCCCCTGGTCCTCGCTCTAGCCAAGCGGAAAAACTCCAATCTCCGGACGCTCGCCCTTACAGCCAATCTGAGGCCCCGAGGCCCACCTGGCAGCACCCCACACCTCACACCCAATGCCGCACACCCCGCGGGGCTGCCGGAAATCGCCGGCTCCTCCTGCGCTCTCCGCGTGCGCGGCGGGGCTGACGTCCCCAGCCTCCGTGCGTGTCCCGCACCCTGGCCAGCACCCGGTCCGGTCTCCCTGCCCCTGCCCGGCCTGGCGTGCCACAGTCCCCCCGCGTCTCCCGCTCGTCTCCGACGCGCGGCGCCCCTGTCCTCGCGCGTGCTGAGTCCCCAGAGCGTTCCTGGCGGAAGGACCGTGACCTGGAATCCCAGGTCTCGGGGCTCCAGCCCCGACCCCCGCTCCTCCCAGCATGCTGCCCACACGCCGTGCATGTTCTTCTCCGGGGGTGGACGGCCTTGGGGGCCCGCACCTCCTGGCGCGGTGGGCAGGCGGGTCGGGGACGCCCCGGACGGCGGGAGCGCGCCGAGGCGGTCTGTGCGCGCGGCGGAAGGACCGTGACCTGGAATCCCAGGTCTCGGGGCTCCAGCCCCGACCCCCGCTCCTCCCAGCATGCTGCCCACACGCCGTGCATGTTCTTCTCCGGGGGTGGACGGCCTTGGGGGCCCGCACCTCCTGGCGCGGTGGGCAGGCGGGTCGGGGACGCCCCGGACGGCGGGAGCGCGCCGAGGCGGTCTGTGCGCGCACACGGGGCGGGGGCGCGCGGAGGGCGGAAGCTCAGCTCGGCCCGGGCTTATCCCGCGCCCGCGCCCGCGCTCCGGCGCTGAGGGTCGGGAGGAAACCACTGACCACGTCGGGCAAAGCAGAAAGAGCGATCCCCACGAACCCCCGCTCCCGGCGAGGGGCCGGGACACGGGCAAACTCCGGCTTCCGGGCGACGCGGGGAGCCTACCTGGCTCCCAGCCACTTCCTCCGCCACCGCCTCCGCCCTGGCCCACAGGCTCCCGGGGCGAGAAGCGCCCTGGCCCCTCCACTCCAGTCCTGGCGCGGTTCCACTCAACCTCCACTCACCTGCACAGGGTCGAGCTGTGACTGCCACTCACCTGCTGCCAGGCCC